TCAATAGTTGTATGGCATATACCTATTCGAGATCCATTCTTGTATTTGACCTGTTTAACTTCGTTGTTCACTAACGCGATTAAAGTCGATAAATACATACGAGGAAAGCTAGGATGTGTTGATAACAATGTTGATGTTGATAACAATCAGAAACAATCTAACTGGAGTCGGATATAAGGCCACTAAAATCTTAAATCTATTTAACCAATTTCTTTATAGTCTATATTACTGAAGATAAACGAACATTCAATGCATATAATTAAGACCAGGAATTTCAATAGTGATTTGTTGTCCTGATTTTTTAATACTCTAGGTAAACTAAAAATTAACATCTAGAGATATTATATGTTACCACATTGAGTTCACATATCCTTCATTCAATTGTTTGTAAACTTCTAATTTAAACTTGTGGTAATTCGATAATGATTACTTATTTTGATTCACATCATGAAATGAAAAGTCGGAAATCAAATTTTTCTACTCCTTACAACACTACCAATATATTATTATCATGACATTTGTCATTTATTTTTGGAGATTAATTTGTGGGGCCCGTAATGTTGTCGTCGTTTAGATCGAGCAATGTTGTCGAAAGGGCTCTCCACTTTAGTGGCCCGAGATCTGACTTTAATTCGATCGTGTGAATGATTGTTATCGACTTAAACCGCGTTAGTCAATAACGGAATTAAATAAGTCAAATAACGAGAACAGACTTTTGAGTACATATATTTTGTATATGAAGTGAATGGAATAGAGAGAAGTGAAACGACGCGGAGTGGAGATGGTAGTAAGCCAACTCCCATTTAACCAAGCGTTAATCAGTAGTTATGGCTACACAAAGTAAGTTACAGACATGTGATGAGTAGTGGGATAAGAAGTGTACACACATCTACGCTCATATAAAAACAGTTAAAAGTGATAAGTGAATAAATAACAAGGTCAGAATGTGACTCAAGTAGAATGAATAAAATGGGCTGTCCGAAAGCTAGAATAAGGTATATGGGTTTAACATAATAAGTGACACTACAAATTTGTCTAACAAGGTGATTCGGAACGTTCATCGCTAACAATCACTTGTATTAGATCCTCGGACAGGATCTGTTTTATTTTTCCTTTTTGTTTAAAGATTTTCTCTTTACAACTAGAATCCTATTAAGTCTTATTTAAACAGTGTACGATAAGTGAAATATGTTGAATCGGCTTCCGGAGAACTTTAACTGAGCCTCCGAAAGCCCAAAAGGAGCCGAAGGGTCCTAGCCAATCAGAGTATGATGGAACGTTCGAGAATTCCGGCGTGGCGTGCTACTATTGGTCGGTAGCATAATACGTCGTTAACGCATCGGCTGAAAAATGATGTTGATTTAACAGACGCCAATATCTATAAATACCCATGATTTTCTGTACAAAAATGAACCTTGGGATAAAGTATTTTCTCTCATACTTTGCGTCTTCACTCTGGTGTTCAAGTCGCTGTGTAGTTCTAGTCGGCGGGTTACCAGAATAGCTTAGGAAAACGAATATAGCGTTCGATCGACAAGACTTAACAAAATAATTTCAATCAACTTAATCAGTTATTATTATCATCATTGTTATTCTTACTACTCATAACTTTGAAATTTTAAACCGTTATCTCAATTGACTAATGTGAAAACTTATCAAAACTCATAATTCACTAGATACGCTTAAAAACTATTATTTACGTCAACCAAGTCGCAGTAGTTTCATTTTCTTCATTAAATATAAACTCTCCAACTTAGAATTTACATATATACTTTAGACTATAATGAGACAATGTAAGAATCTAGTATCCAAGTTATGATAAATTAGGCTTTTTGTTTCTAAACTATATTGTGTTCATGAGTTCATTTAATTATATTCTTATTTAAAACAAAAAGGTGTAACGGGGTTAAAATCATCATATATGTTGTTAAAAGATTTTGTTTCTTTTCTATTGCAGGACAACCAAGAATAAATGCTTTAGAAGAAGAAGAAGAAGAAGAGCAAGTCCTGAATGCTCTAAACTTATAGGATGACTCATAAGACCGTTTTATAAACTGGCTCTCTTTTCTGTACATAACCCGCGAGTTTTAATTTTCAAATAAACGACTGGTGGTCTCCATTCAGTGTTCTCTCTGTGGTGTGAAGTGCTCAATTATCATTGTGTGTGTTGTAGCTTTAGGTATTACCGCTTTCCAGTGACTGCTGATTACACGTGTTACAAAGGTATAGAATCTTTATTAATCAACATAACCTTTATACAACAGTCACATTGTTATGATTTTCACAGAAATGTTTTTTCATAAAAATCTTTATTATTTATTTCTTTAATCAATTAGTAAACAATCGATAGAAAAGCAAACAATAAAGAAGAGAGAAAGTTTAATTTGATTATCGTATAAAATTTAGTTTATTTCCAAAATTAAGTTTATATATATATATATATATATATATATATATATATATATATATATATATATATATATATATACAGAGAGAGGGGAGAAAGGGAGGGGGTAGGAAAAGAGAGAGCATTATTAATATTCGAACTTAATTATTAACCACCCCTTTTAGTATTATTGAATAATAGAGTAGAATTGATATTTTATATCATAAAAACAATTTAATATTGTAACTATCGAGTTTATTGATTTTTTAAAATCGATTTAACACCTTTATATTCAGTTGTCTACGCATAATTTTGAAAAAAAATGTTTCATAAAATCTTTAGTTTCCAATTAAATTTATTAATTTATTTAATATGTGTTGTTTTATTGTTTGGTGTATTCAATGTACAAGGTAAGTTGATAACTTTAATTTTGTATATTCAGCTGCAAAGTATATAACTGTTCTGTTTTTCTGAATGATGAGAAGTATAGGTTTACCATATTTTTTGTTGCCATTAATAAGACTTATGTGAATTTCTGAGATTTTTTATTAGGAAAAATGGAAGAATTCAGCGAAGAAAAATTTTCTTTTCGACGAAATCATTTATTTAAGCTATATGTTCCTATTTATAGTTCTATAGACTATTAATCTAAATTCTCATCATTCCCTGACCTTAATTCCTTTTAGTGGTATGTTTCGGGTTCTTTTTTTTCTTGTTTTAATCTGATTATTATTGATTTTTTAAAATTATTGTTTTGTAATTTTTTGACTCTAATCATTTATTATTATTCGATGCTGGCTTAGTGGTCTAGAGGTTAAGCGCTTGCGCGCAAGACCGATAGGCGGGATCGTGGATGCTTACTGCTGAAGAGTCCCATACTAGGACAAAAGGGCGGTTCAGTGATTCCAGGTTTTCTATGGTGGTCTAACTTCAATTGACTCATGCTCTGAATTATTGAAATTATTATTATTATTACCGTTAAACAAATTTTCTTATTATTCAGTTTATATTATTATGACCTTTATATTTGTCGTTTTTCTTCATATCTGAAGGGGTTTTGTGAAAATTTTTAGTAATTTTATAGTTAAATTCATGAGTCATAGAAAACGTGGAATCACTAGATGGCCGTTTCGTAATAACATGGGACTCCTCAGCAGTGCACATCTTCATATCTGTCAACTGGACAATTCTCTGACCCATAAATTCTTTTCTTGCTGATCCCTTGATTAGTACATAACCTCATTTGATAACAAGAGTTTTGAATCAATTTATGATGCAAATATTTCTATTCTACTATAGGCATACATTTTCCATATAACTATAAATACGAATGTACAATTTAAGTAAGTGATTTCGTCGAAAAGGAATTTTTTTCGCTGAATTCTCTTATTTTTATTCAATGACACTATGGGTGATTTTTAATGTTTGAAATTATCTCTCATCCTTCTGATCTTTCTGTAACTTGTTAATATATCCAATGTTTCACTCTGGAATATAACTCTAACATTTAAAGTTGAGATACATTACTTTGTATAAAGAATCAGATTTATTTATTTCTTATTTCTATTTTTTCGTAAGTAAATGGGAACATCTATCTTATCTTGATGTTACGAAATAATGTTAACGAACACTGTAGCATAAAATGAATTCTTATTGTCACATACTTGATCTGTCGACCCAATAACATACAGGAGAGAACTTGTCTCCATCTAGGCTATGATCTTGACACGGTAGCCTTACTAGCTTGATATGGTGGCTAGAAATGAGTGAGTTCGAATTGAGATTACCGTCCTGGGTAGAGAGACGAAAACTATCACCTGATTAATTGACAAGTGATAGAGAGAAAAAAGATGGGTCAACTAGAACGAATACCAGTTATCTCACAGGTTTTTTGTATCAAAAACGTTTTTCATCTCGTTCTCTCCAATGAAATGATTAGTTTCAAAATGATGATTACGTAAATTTCTGATATATTTGATCAGATGTTCCTTGAGAATTAAAATCACTTGTAGAAATATTAAAAACCAATGAAGACTGTACGCCTATTTATTGTTTGTTAAACCTGTTCGGAAAAAAATGCATGTACACCTACTTAAAACAGAGCAGACACACAATTCTTATTTCTTAACTTTGTCATTAAACACTTTCATGCTTAAGTTGTTATAACTAGAACGAATTTAATATATAATGATTTATATCGGAAAGGAGTTTTTGTGGATACTTTAGTAATTTAATAGTTGAGATCATGAGTCAGTTGAAGTTAGACTACCATGAGAAACCTGGAAGCACTAGAAGGTTGTTTAGTCATTCAATTTCGTAAATTATTTGGAGTTAGACATTAACAGTGTTGGATGCCGACCGGCTCAGGGGTCTAAAGATTAAGCGTTCGTGCGCAAGACCGACAGGTCGTAGATTCGAATCCCGCGAATCAGGATCGTGAATGCTCACTGCTGAGGAGTCGCACAATAGGACGAACCAGCCGTCCAATGCTTTCAGGTTTCTCATGGTAGTCTAACTTCAATTGACTCATGATCTCAACTATTAAATCAGTATAAAGATTTGTTAGAGAATAATAATAAATTCTATAGAAAAATTTATTACAATTATGTATCAGATGAAAAATGGATATTATAGAAATGAACTAGAAGGTAATATGAAAGTAGTTTAGATAAAGATTTATGCAATTTAAAGTCTAGAGAGTTTGGTTAATGTTATGGATGCTGAGGAATAATGTGCCAATCATTATCATGTTAAATCTAATGATGTCCTTGGACGTTAAATGAACATTTCCTATTGGCCGTTATTTATTTCATTCGTTAAATATTGTACAAATGTTGTTTTCTATTTTTATGGTACGATGTGGTCTGTTTGGTTAGTATATAACTAGAGTATGTCTGGAATACAAAGATTCATATCTCGGAGGCTGTGACTTGCGTTCTGGACTCGACTGGCTGGGCTAGACAGGGAGGCGGGACCAATCAGGACACTAGGTCGTTCACTACGTGTTTTCCGTGTCACTGTAATCGATCGAATAACGTTGCTTATCAAAACCTGAAGTCCACCCGTTACAACAGTTAAAATGTTAAGCAATCCATATCTCTTCAAATTCCTAACAAATGTGTTTTTAGTACATTGGCAATGTTAAACTAGGTAGTCAATTTTACTAGATTCATTCATTTAATGTGTTGAACTGAATAGAAGAGAATGCTTCAAAATACACTATTATTAGTTTGTTGAATAGTGTATCTTATAAAATGACTGAATGATTCAAAATCCAAGACGTTTTTATGAAAGTCCCATTAGGATATTAATGTTTGACTAGTTGGAATAATGTAGGCTTTTTCATATGTATATAATGGAATATTATATCATTTTTCAACAGGGAATTTCATTATTTCTTCTTTATTTCTCTAGGTATAAGATTACTGAAGACACGTGGAGACGACAGTGAGTTTGTCATTCTATATGGTTCATTAAATATCTAATGAAAGTTATAGCCAATGTTATAATTCATTTGAGTATCATTATGTTTATATAATGATGAAGTCAATTTCATACTATATAATTAGAAGTCCAAAAACTTTGTTAATGAAAGACAATATCTCCATTACTGCTTTCATGTAATATTCTTTAAACTGTTCATATAATTACAGGAATGAAATTAAAATCAAATTTATTTGGTATATTTAGTAATGTAGATAAGTCAAAGTATATAAAATGCTACACTAGTCTACTAACTTTCCATGGTAAAAGATTATCTAACATTTAAGATTAGCCAAAAAATTGTATTAATTGAGGTTAAATATAGTATACAGTATGCATAGCAAAATCTTGCAGTCTATGTTTTATGTCCTTAGCTTATACGATTATCGCGAAATACGATTGCCAATTTATATACACAGACTTATATGACCAAACTAACAATGCATACATCAGTACTGTTAGCCTAGAGTTCTTTTTAGTTCTTTTTCACTTAACTCTGCCTGTTAGGTCCAGAATGCCAATCCCAAACTCTGCGATACGAATCATATATTTCAAGCATACTGGGTTTATGCAAAAATAAATCAAACCATATTACACCATAAAATAAGAAATAAAAATTGTACAAAATCAAACTAAAAGTGGCTATAATTGTGAGAAACTGTGACTAATAGATTGATATCACCTTGAGAATAGCAAATTATGTAACAATATCAAATAAGTTAAATCAAAGCTTATAATGAAAGGGATATGAATATAGATATAATATAGTTACTTAATAGTCATGCAATAATATTATTGTTTGGATATAACACTATATGTAAACTTAAGCTTGACCGAATCATTCTATTCATGTCAGGAAGTTTTGGAATTCCACTTACTTTGCTCTAAGTTCTCTAAGATCTAGCTACATTGATTCTTCACTCGGGTTGTCTGCAAAAATATATTGCAAAAACCTTTGAGGAATTAACTAATGCTATATGGGACCTAGATATACAATGAATAGTGATTTTTAGTAGAAATGAGCTATTCTAAGGTCATAAAAATAAGTTATTTGACTAAAAACAAACCCACCAAGTATGTAAAGTCAGCATATGCATTTGGTTCTTTTATTGCACTCATCGCCTAATGAGGACATCTCCACTGATTGACAGACGGAAATTGTTTCTCCATAATGATTACGTGAAAATGTAACTAGAAATTATCCACAGCTATGTGATTTGTTGATTGATCAGTATTAATATAGATAATTAAGGTTTTAAAAAGATAATCTGTTAGATCCCGACGAGAGTTATGAATGGTACCTTTTGGGAACTATTTATGAACTAATACTAAACGTATATTTTATTATATAATTGTTAAGTAACTAAAATATTCAAATTCGTGTTCCTCTTATTATAAGCATTATTTTGACTCATGAACTATTATTCTACGATTTACCATTCTTGAATTCTGCCCAGTCTATTCATTAGTCTCCCATATTCATAGCCACTTTTGACTAGATCTTGTATAGATGTCGTTTTCTATTTTATGGTACGATGTGGTCTGCTTGGTTTGTATATAAAAACCCAGTATGTTTGAAATAAATGATTCATATCGCAGAGGCTGAGACTGATGTTCTGGAATTAACAGACAAGCCTAGGCTGAAAGAAGAACAGATAATTCACTGTTCACATGACCACAAGTTATGACATAATCCATGACTGAAATTATTACGGGTAATCATAAAATGTTTATTTACGCTTATATTATCTTTTGAAACACAATATATATATATATATATATATATAGTTCGATCTGCAAAGATTTTTAAACGTTTACTTAGATTTCAACTGACTGGTTGACTGATTCTCAACATTATCTAATGCGTTTTTTCTTGAAAATTCTTCATATTTAAATGTAAATAAAACTGAATTCATAGTATAGTGTTAATCGTTCATGCTCGAAACCTAAGGTCTCAGATTCCAGTCTAACGTTTAGGGCTGTGTGTGTCTGTTTAAAGGAATCTCATACTGTGACAAAACTGTCGGCTTGTGCTACCAGGTTTTAAATCAGTTAATGATCTCAATGAAAAGCTAGATTTATTTGTAATCATTAAATAGTAAACAATAATGTTAAGATAGATTTTGATCGTTAATGATCTACACTATTCACTTTCATCCACAAATTTGAACAAAAAGATAATTATGGCAATACTATAAGTTATGGACGAACCAATCACGTATAAAATAACAGGTTTCAGATTTTTGGCGCGAAGTTCACTCATTCATTAGGATAAATAGAGTTTTGGCATAATGCCTCATAATTCGAATTCCTCACATTGGTTTATAACACTCATTTGGTCCTAGTTATTAAGTGGACACTCAAGGTTGGTTTGGCGTTGCTCGAAGGTCGTTCATAAATTATGTTTCTTTTTAATTATATTCCACTTTTTTATTGAGATTAATGTTAAACGAAAGTCGTGGGTTCGAATACTGTGATCATGATCGTGCAAGCTCACTTCTGATGAGTCTTATACTAGGACGAAGCGGCCATCTAATGCTTACAGGTTTTCAATGGCGGTCTAAGGTCAATTGATTCATGATCTCAATCAAAAAAAAATTAACAACTTTCACAACCTCATACTGATATATCATTTTTTATTGATTCCAGATAATGAAATTGAAGATGATTTTGAAAAAATTATTGATATGATAGACAAGGAAAGATTTGGTCCTTCAGATGAAACAGGTATTTAAAGTCATAATAACCCATGTGTGAGTACTAATATTATTCAACACTTATCGGCATTTAATTTATGGGGCTATATTATAGTGTGTGCTACTGATGTCGACAGATATAAGTAGTATGTATCATGAATCGAAAGTGAAATGTTTCGAGGCACAAGGCTAAGACGATTGAAGAAAAGAGAACAAGAACAAAGAATGATTAGTATGGAAATGAAAGAACGATGAAGTCTGAGTCGATTGATCGACATTTTGCAAATGAAATATTTACTAAATAGTTCTCAGATTTTACTAAGACATTCTGTAATTTATGTGTTAAAATACATTCGATTGTCCCTACATGTGTTCTCGTTCACTACGATGCAACTATGACACAATAAATGAAAATTGGTTGCCTGTTCAAATATTTAAGTCACTTTTTGGTGGAGTTTTGTTCTCTGAGCTGGATGGTTTGGTCGTAGAGCTTTCATCGTTCTTCTGAACGACATCATCAGACTTCTATCTGAAGTTTGTGCTGATGATGTTCAGAAGAACGACGAAAGCTCCACGACCAAACCATCCAGCTCAGAGAACAAAACTCCACCAAAATCATCCACCTGAGCTACAAATCTTCTCCACCATCTCAATTTAAGTCACTTATACTCCAATTGGTTATTTTAATAAAATAATTATGAATCTCAATTGTCTTTACTTTAGCAATATCGTGAAAGGCATGAAATGTGTTACTATGTTTAAAAATTGAAAAGTTCAAACCTGAACATTACATTTATTGGTATGGTTTCCACAACATTTCCCCCTTTTAAAAAATAAGGGAAATTTCTTTCATTGAATAATTGATGAAGGGCAAATAGTTATGTAAATGAACTGATTGTCAATTCTTGTCAATGAAGATGAGTGTAAGATATTAATTATTAAAGAAAAACATATTTCGAATCATCACAGTTCAAAATGTACGTTAATCAGAAATCTATTATGATCCTGGGCAATCAATGACAACAATTCCTCCATGTAACATAATTTTTCATGATGAATAAAGTTACTTTGTAAGCCTTGTTTAGAAATGTGAAGTAATTTTAATTGGGATCATGAATCGATCAATGTTAGGCCACTATTGAAAATCTGTAAGCATCGGACGGTTGTTTCATTTTAGTATGGGACTCCTCATCAGTGTGCACCCACGATCCCATATGCAGGACTCGAAACCAGGTTATTCGATCTCGCGCGAGGATGTTTATCCTCCCGACTAATGAGCCGGTATCAAACGGTGTTATTGTTTAACTTCAACCAACCCACGATATTACACGACGATTTCAACAATCTCCACAACCTTATATGGATGAAATAATTTATCAGTTTTTAAGTTTGGGTAAATTTAGTTTTACAAAATCAGCTCTTCACATTTTATAGGTCGATAGTTGACAGAAAGAGACAACTGGTTGGATCCCAAGGTGTGGAATAATATTTTTTACAGTTTAATGCTTAAATGAACACTAAATTTGTTGACACCTGTTGTTTGAACTTAATCTATAACTGCATAACTAGTTTTAGGGAAAAAAAAGAACAATTTTCTTGTTTATTTCAGATCCTCCAGGTTGGGAATCGGATACCACATATGAAAAAGAAATACGCGTTGGTAAAGTGAAGAAAGGAGGAAAATTGGGACCAGGTAAATTTTAAATTGTTGTATTATTAAAATGAATCTATTTGTAAACATATCTCATCTAGCTAAAATCATAATTATTTCAATTACTGATATAATACAGAAGATAATTATACTGTCTACCTACATCTAAAGTATCTGAATGAAATATTGTTGAAATTAGTACATTTCAAACAGGTAATCCAATAGAGATTAGTCAAGTTCTGTGTTTCATATTCAATGAAGTTTTAAGTGTCAGCGTTTCACCTAAAAGTTAGGAAAAAAGCATTTACAAGTTAGATGAAAGTCCTTCAAACACTAATTCTTTAATTACTATAATGAATTCCACTCCTTCAACAATAAAATACAGAAATGTCTGAAGACAAAATGAACTACAAGCCAACATCAGTAAATAGATAGTCTCTTTAACTCGTTAATATGTTATCATTTACCTCAATTGTAACACACGAAAGAATATGAATGTGAATAGTTGATGGTCTTATATGTTCTTTCTTTATACGATACAACTATACCATAAACTGAGAATCTCGATGCTTTTTCATATGAGTCTTAAAGTCAGTATATAGTGATGATGGACAGTAATGAAAAAAATCTCCAGTTAGCACGACATTATCTCCTAAACGCACTTTGCTGACATTGACTATACTTTTCTGGATCTGGGCTACATTCCATCAGAATTTAGGTAAGGATTACTTAAAGAAACTCTGCCTGGAGCCCCTGTATGGTTACTACCGGTCCCAAGCCCAGATAAAGGAGGAGGATTGGGTATGTGGTAAACAGCCTCATTCCGTAGAAAACTAACTCGCTAAAAAACGTTAGCCAGAAAAGAAAGAGTTCAAACCATTTATACTCTGCCCTGGCAGTTAGAAGGTCTTCACTACTCAAAGAGATTATCACCGCAGTTTAATATAATTTTGCTGAAATCTGATCTGAAACAACAGAAAAAACTTTCAATTACATCTATCTCCACTTTAGCGATTGATGTTATACTATAGTCAGCAAAGCTGGGGTTTTTACAGATATAAATTTTCAAATAACCAAGATAGAAAGCAATTTTAAACGATGAATAATGATCTCACATTTACAAAAATGATAGATATTGAAACTGTCCGAACATACAAATAGATTCACCTGTTAATTAAATGCCTTACGTTCAGCTAGGAGAAATAGTTTCCGAAATCCTATAATAACCAGATATCAACAATCCAATGACTTGGGACTAGTTAAACAGGACCAAATGTATCCAACAAATACGAGTTGCTGACTATGAGTAGCATTAAAATAAAGTGGAATACATGGTCAAAATTCACTAAAATAATACAGTACATATAACGTTCATAATATGTGAGGATTGGTATGCAAGTTAAGTGGATTATAATCTTTATTCTCCTCACTGGTACTCATCACTTTTTCCCTCGAGGCTGTGATGATGTCCTAGTACTTGGTCCGAAGTAGGTGATTTTCCCAAAGGAAACACTTTTCCAACTTTTAATCTGAAGATCTAATATATTAAGCATCTGAGTAACGTGCGACAATGCCGTCGCATGAAAGTTAATCACCTGAATACGTACATACACAGCGTTGATTCTTAATCAACTATATCTCTTAAACAAATCTTCCGTGATAGTCAATCAAATTTAACCATTGTAAATCAAATGAATAATATCATAAGTAAATGTATTCACTGAGCACGCTGAAGAATATAAAAGAGACTATACTTTATGGACGGGCCCATCAGAAGCGTTTGAGGTACTTCAAGGTCATGACGCCAATTTCAGTACCTGATGCTCACGCACGATCGGTTTAGAGAGGATTTTAGAGAAGACGTGATAAGTGAGTGGCCACAACAAATAGGATTACTGAGAAGTTCCATTATTTGTGACTGTGGTAATGAAATGATTGCTGTACCATATGCAGACTACCGTGATGAGATTGTCTTTCTATGTTGTTTATGTTAGAGGAAGACGCCTGCTAGAACAGGAACTTTCTTCGCTCGATCCTGATTGGAACTAAAACAAATCATGACAATTGTTGTGAATCGGTTAATAAAAGCACCAGTAACGCTGGCTGCAACATTTGCAGAAGTTACTGAAGCTTCAGCCGTTCAGTGGTATGAGTATTGTAGAGATATATGTGCAATAAGAATGACAGGCTTACACGGGTCGTTTGGAAAATCGTTGAAATAGACGAATCAGTAGTCAGGAAGCGAAAATTTACCAGAGGACGTAGTATTAAAAAGGACTGGGTAAGTAACACTTCCATAAATATACCTCATAGGTCCTTGGAATTTAGGACAGGTCAACCCAAAATGGAAACTTCCAACGGGTCAGAACCCGGTAGGCAATGACAATAATACCAATTATACAGGAATATGTGCAGCCAGGCACTACAATATATACAGATGATTGGAGAGCGTACAGATCCCTGCATAGACTTGGTTATGTGCATCATGTCGTTATCCACAAGAGCCATTTTGTGGACGCTACAACCGAAGTACACACTAACAATATTGAAGCTATATAGTCGAGGCTGAAGGAATTTTTACAACCTTATCATGGCTCAAGAGACCGACTGATATGGAGCAATATGGATCAGTTCCTCTACCATATGCATTGCGATTTCAAAACCTCCTAACCTCTTTCTAATCTTGACATGTTTCCGAACCACGTAAAATAAGTGTATCCACTTTAATTCTTTGGTTTTGTATAATATATTTTTACTTCATACTAATTATTTTCTGATTGGCTAATATTTCTCAAGGTTACTTAAGATTCGTTCAAATGTCGTCCGTAAATTATAGTCACGCCAAGTTCAGTGTGAACTGATGAAAGAACTATTTGTCTCATTAGCTGATAGTTCATGGACTGTCTTTATTTCAATAACTGTTTTTATGATCTAAACTTCTTAATTAATTAAAAAACTTTGTGATTTCAATGAATTTCATTTGGTGTCATTATCATGAAATATGAACGTACTGTTTCTTTATTTCAAAAAAGGTAAACGTATAGAGCGTGTAATATTAAAGAAGAAGAAACCTTTCGGTAAAAATGATTCTAGACCAGGTGATATTTTTATATTGTTCGTAGTGTTTTTTAAATTTATGACTGAAGCACTAAATATTTATGAATTGGAATAGTTTGCTTATTGTAATGAAACGATGACAGTATTTTAGATAAGATGTATCTGGGAGATAAAACCTCAATTGATTGGTCACTGGGTGGTGATAAATGTCATTCATGTTAGGTCCTTCTTAGTGCAGATCGAATCCTATCGACCAAGTTGCGATGTGGCCACTTGTCTAGGTGAATCGACATTGCGTGCATTATGTTGAGATAAAATGGTGATGGGAGGTAGCCAACAGGAAGCTCTAGAACAAGGTTTCGTGCTACTTGGCATTCGTCGGCAAGGTATACCTGTAATCTTGAAGGAACTGATGTTCCCTGACGGATTCGATCACGTGTCACCCAGCTTCACAGTCAGAGACCTTACAACTGGGTTAACCTCAGTGTTAGCAAAACGAAAATTTGAGAATAAATAAATACAGAATGTATTAGTAAAATCTGAGAACCATGCAGCAAATACTTCATTTACGAAATGCCCATCAACTATCTCAGATTTTATTGTTTCATCTTTTCCATGACTATCACTTTCTATTGCCGTTCCTTACTATTCGATCATTTTAAATTTCTACTACCAAGATTTCCAATTTTGATTGATGTTACGTAGTACTTATATCTGTCTACGTAAGCAGCACACACCACAATACTTCCTGAGAAAGTAGTAAACTGTTTATATTTGAAATTTTATACAGTTAACACTTCAACAAACCTGAGTTCACAATCAATATCATTTTTTTATAAAACATTATATTTACTGAATCTATTGTAGTGAACAAATACTCAGGTGGGGGATAACCAATTTATCGTTAAAAGCACAATCACACAGTGCGAAAATCACATCTGTGATACATCGTTTTCACATATTTTTTGAATCGTCTCTTATGAGCTTCATTGTCTCTTCATTCATGTCGTTATCTTGTATGCTTTCAATTTCTTTTTCTTTTATCTCTATTTTAATCTTCTCAACCTTCTGCTTGTAGACATTCCACTTCATGCTAGTATAACATGCTACTTATATATGAAAACATAAGTAGCATACATTACACTACTTCGTGTATATAGTTCTTATATTCTTCAATAATATGCAATAATTATGGAATTTGTAACTGTAGTACCTAATAATGATGCTTGTGTAAGCAACGGTTTTATGTGATCATATTTTATTTTCTCTTGTTAATAGACTGGGAATAGATTTGCAGTTCGAAACCATTTAGTTATACATTTAAATAATTTTGTTTTAAAGTCATAAACATTTCTCCTCATGTACATACGCTCTCATACATATGTTTATATAGTAAACACAGCAAGATATGATGGAATTCGTTAAAAACTGAGTCTATGTTATAGCAACTATTATACAACCAATTTCGATTGTGGTTAATTTTGGCTAATCCCGTTTATTAACTTAACTGACAATGTCATTTGAACAGTAACAATTTGCATAATTCTTTGTACCATTATGATCACTAGAGCACATGACAAACCAGCTAAAATGTCGATTGTTTAAATATTACTCAATGATTCATCCTCCTCTCCATGTATTTATGTACTCAAATCCTATTATTAATCCTTGCTTTGCCTTGCTGCGACCTTATGCGATTTGACTATAAATTTGCCTATGTAATTGTTTGCACATACTTATTGGCCTTTCCGCTTCGAATTCGCTCGGTGTGTTTATAGCTTTGTGATCTGCACTTTCGGCTAAGAAACTGTAGTTGCTGCTTCTCATTACCTTCTGATTTAAAACACCATTGAGATTTGTGTTATAACTATTATCGAGGTGATCGATTAACGAAGCAAAGCCACTACAATATAAAATATACACTGTCTTTTTAGTAACAATAATAAACATCTGCTCAAGTTGGCTGTGATATTTTTCACTTGAAATACAATAAATAACTTTTTTTAAAAACTATATGTATATCAGGTTTCTCAGATTGGGAATATACAGAGGAAGATGAGAGAGAACTATTCGTCAAGGAATAATCAACTATAAGAGATTCCATGTAAGTATTGTTAAAATACAATATAAAGTTAGTAAACTAACAAAACCTATTTTTTTACGAACTAGGTATTATTATTGTCTTCTACAATGCATAGTGTTGAGTTGATAATTTTTTGACGAGACTATAATTTATGGATTAAGAAATCGCGTATAAGATAACAAGTCTCGGATTTTCGGCGCGACTTTCACCCATCCATTTGGTCAAATTGCGTTTTGATATTATAGTTGATGTCATTTCGTGATAAAAACTTTACCTGTGATTACCAACCTTAACCATCAACTGTAAATCATAATTCGGATTCCTCACACTAGTTTATAACACACAATTGGTCTTAGTTATTAGGTGGACATTCTCAAGGTTAGCTTGGCGTCTCTCAAAGATCGTCCATAAATTATAGTCTCACCGATTTTTTTAGAAGAACAATAAAAGTGTATAGAAGAAAATTCATATCTTCTACATGTCGAAATATGCCATCTTGTGACATGCCTAGGTATCGATGAGTTATTGTCACAAGATTTATAACTAAGTATTTTGATTGATTTTTCTCAAAAAGGATCCTGACCATTTAACTTAGTAGTAAATGATGTTAGGGTTGAATGTCTAGAGTCATTAATATTTATATAACTCAGCATTTATTATAATGTCATAAATGCATCTACTCAATGTATACTAGACATAATCATTATTTTTATACTTCCAAATTCATTTACATACGGCAGTTTAGATTTATCAGCTTATATAATTCACTTTATTATAAAATTGTATAAACCGTGTTTAGGTTGAACTGTAAGACAGTATGTTTGTATTCTGCATTCACAAAAACTATGGTATGAGATAGTAGTATTGTGGTATGAGCTACATATATCCACATAAGTAGTATATAACGATAGTCAGGAATCGAACGTATTTCAATAGAAGATCGAAAAGGAAAAAAAACGGGGAAGGGGAAGTAATTGGTATGAAAATGCAGAAACAATGAGATCTAAGACGATGAACTGATATTAACGAAAGAAAAAGTTGGAAACAATTGATTGATATTTTGCAAATAATGTATTTACTGTATGGCTTTCAGATTTTAGTAAGATGTTCTGTAATTTCGTGTCCAAATAAATTCGAATGTCCTCACTTGTGCTCTTGTTCACTACAGTATCAGCAAGTGTATGGATCTTCATTTCGGTGTTCTACATTTAAAAAAGGTTTTATTAGATAATCGATTTTACGAAGTGATTATCCTTAGAGAATGAAGTTACCTGCATGTTCACTAATTACTAGATAATATCGTTCAAAGACATGAAGATCTAAGGTTATATTAGTGTGATATTATTAGTGTGCAACACTTTATATATGTATTTGAAAGCTAACTTCTATTTGTCTATTTATAGTGTATATTTAAAATAAGGGTAACTATTCTCATAAGTTATAATTGAATATCTAGCACTATTTCTACCGATAAAATCTGGGAAGAGTAAGAATAAAGTTTCTAGCAGAATAGTGTGAATTCCTTTTATTTCGTTAGTTCTCATCAGCTGCTTACAACTTGTGATATTTAAGAGTCATAATTATATAATAGGCTTAAATTACTGAACATGTTCAATAACTCAATGAATGGTTGACAAGCACCCTTTTCATGTTACCGCCAACTGTATTTATAAATTAATGTGTACCTGCCAAAGCAGCTAAATTGGCTGAACAGAAAGGAGGGCATACCTAAGACCTTTTTAAATATATTCTAAAAAGCCTCAGAACAAGAGGAAGAAAGACTGTAAACAGTGCAATCACCAAATATCTCCTTGATACAGGACATCAGGTCGATATCTTACAATCTTTCAAACTGATTAGCAAGTAGCCAAACTTCAGTCTTCTGAAGTTTGCTGAAGCCGTTGCTATCAGGCATCAAAAACCTGAATTATGTGTCCAAAAGGAGATGGTTATCAATTTTTCGTTACCATGGTGACAAATATTCCTTCGTTGAATCCTAAACTTTTTAAATTTTTTTTAAAACTCTTTCTTGAATTTATTACATCATTGAGTTTTTATTTCAACTATCTTCCATATAAGTAATCTTATTAGCTGAGCTTTATTCATTTTATTCCTATCAATGTTTACTTGTTTCTGTGTTTTCAATATAACTTCCAACCAAATTCTTCCATATAAGTTATTTCAACCCATTATATAATTATGACTCTTAAATATCACAGGTTGTAAACAGTTGACGAGAATCAAACGAAGTAAAATGAATTCATACTATTCTACTAGAATCTTTATACTTACTCTTATTATAATGATAAATGGAACTATGTATATATGAGATATTCACATTATAATAAGTTTACAAACTATTATATACAACACTAAAAATTAGTTAAACAGAATAGAATTGAATATGAAAAATGTACCATAAAATAAAGTACTATGGAAATATGAGGTAACTTTATCGATTTGTTGTTTTTTTGCCAAAAAAAGTACACAACTATATTGAAAATTAGAATGAAGATATATAGAGAAAAACTGTATTCTGTCATCTTCATAGAACAGCATATTCCATGGACATTTTATGTATAAATAGTAAATTCTTAGTTGAAATGAGATATATACCATAAAAAAAGATATTGAAAAATAAAAACAGTTAAACTATTCAACAATAGTGATAATCATTCTTTTTCCTATATTCAAAACATTATTTATTCCACCCTAATATACTATGTAATAGCTCCGCCTGGAGTCCTTCCGGGGGCTACTGCTGGTCCCAAGACAGAATAAAGTAGGAGAATTAGGCATGAGGTCAGCGACCTCATCCCGTAGAAAAGTAACTCGCTCAAAAAACCACTAACCAGAAAAGTTATTCAAACCATTTAAACTCTACCCTGGGAGTTAGAAGGTCTTCATTTGGAAGAGTTATTACGTCTCATAGTGAAAGCCGAGTTCCTTCGGAAGTTACGAGGCTGATGCACCTTCTGAAAATCAGAGTAATCAATAGTTTAAGTACATGGAATGCTCGTACAATGTGGGACACTGAGAGAGTCTTCCGAATTGCCGCAGAAATGAAGAGATATTATGCAATAAAGTTGTCTAATTGTTAACAGTTTTACAAAAATTCAGATTAAAATAGATTATAATGTAATAATGAATTGTCAATATGAAACTGGTTAAGTGATCATTTGTAAATCGAATTATTGTACTTTAATGACACATCTAGGTTTTTATTATTATGATATTTTTTTTTGAATTTGAATTATGGGTTGGTAATGATGTATTCAAATATCACAGGTTGTAAGAAGCTGACAAGAACCAAACGAAGTAAAATGAATTCATACTATTCTGCTAGAATCTTTATACTTACTCTTTTTATAATGATAAATGGAACTATGTATAAATGAGATAAAATTTGGCATCTTTGTTTTGTTTCGCTTTAATGTTTTAGAGAATGAAGCGAATACAAGATGAGAATCCTACATTATATTTAATGAAATAAGATAACATTTAATGAATTATTTGAACATAAGTTAACTTTATTAGTATCTTTTTCCTTATTATCCTGATGCATTTTCCACTGAATGATTTAATTTACGGTAAAATGTAATCTTATTATTGTTATATAGTTTTTCTGTTCATGTTTTGATCTGGGCACTCAGACAGTATCACAGTCTACACACAAATCAAGTGATTTGTGTGGAGCATATGTATTCGGTGCCCCTTTGTATCAATATGTATGTGTTTAAATAAATAATAAATAACAAAAAACAAATTTATAAGCTACTGACAGAGATTTACTTAAGTATGTGTACAGGTTAGACTGGTAATTTGTATTATCTATAATCAAGTATTAACTTATGGAAAACCTCATTAAATGATTTAGTAGTTCAACACATGACACCAATCGTCAACTTAGAATTCTAACGGGTACTATTCTGTATATAGAATTTTTCACATCACTGGGAAGCATCATCGATGAACACGAAGGTTCAAATACAGACGTAAAGGTGAGGATTGGCAAAGCAAGGGCCGCTTACCTTCAATTGAAGAACATACGGAACTCATAACAACTTTCAACCAATATCAAAGTGAGAATCTTCAATACGAACGTCAAGACAGTCAGTTCTACTGTACGGAGCTGAAACTTGGAGAATTACAACAACCACCATCAAGAAGGTACAAGTATTTGTAAATAGCTGTCCACGCAAGATACTCAACATCCATTGGCCGGATACCATCAGCAACAGCCTTCTGCAGGAGAGAACAAACCAACTCCCAGCTGAAGAAGAAATTGGGAAAAGACGATGGAAATGGATAGGACATACATTACGCAAATCGTCAAACTGCATCACGAGACAAGCCCTAACTTGGAATCCTGAGGGGAAGCGAAAAAGAGGAAGGCCAAAGAACACATTGCGTCTGATAATAGAAGCAGATATGAAAAGGATGAATTACAACTGGACGGAGCTAGAAAGGATTGCCCAGGACAGGGTTGGATGGAGAACGCTGGTGAGCGGCCTATGCTCCTTCACGAGGAGTAACAGGCGTAAGTAAGTAACCAGATTGTTGAAGAAATACGGGAATGGGAAGGTGGAAAACCATAAGAGAGAAATGATTATTGGGTTTGGAGCAAGATACCTATAGAAGGCCCTTTTTAAGGCCACGCATAAGTTCTTTTGAATTTTTCGTTTTAAATTTGTTACAAATTGTATCAGTAAATTGCTGTCACTTACATTCCGTATACGTTTTCTGTATTTTCGATGACAGTTCAGTCGTCATTGTGTTTAACGTCAATCATCTATGAATTACTTTTACAGTCACATCATATTTTTTAGATAACCGTTCTTATGTATCCAAAAATAGTAGTTAGGCGAAATTCTGTGATTGAAAGAAACCAATTACACTGAACTAATGACATATTTAACGATAATAAATAGTGACATTGGTATAGCCTGCAGTTTAGACTATACTTAATCATACTGATTCAAATTAGTGAAAAAAAAGTTA